TTTTCTCTGTCAAAAGAGGCAAAAAAAAATAAGACTCCCTACCATTGAATTTTGTCATCGGTCTCGTGACACCGGCGTATTTCATCCAGCGACGCCGACGTCGTATATTTCAGCCAGCGGCTGTGCCTGGATTTATCGTTTTAATTTCTGACGGGATTGAAGCGGGAAGAAAGAATAAAGATATCACGGGCATACCCGGGGGATTCTTTTCCACGGAGAACGCGAAACAAAGTGGAAGAGACGAGGTACACACATTCATCACATGTTATTAACGGAGGAAACAAAAGATCGACGAGAAAGAGACCGAAAGACAGAATCAGCTGATCATGACAGTTCATTGCTAACTCCTCGCTTCATTATTTCCAATATTATTAGTATCTCTAATCGAGATAATCATTATCATTTTTTTCATTTCACATCATGCTATTAGTTTATATTATTATTGCTATTATTTGATATCATGCTATTTATCCAATATTGACAGTACTGACGACCGAAAGACAGAATCAGCTGATCATGACATTTCATTGCTAACTCCTCGCTTCATTATTTCCAATATTATTAGTATCTCTAATTGAGACGATCATTATCATTTTTTTCATTTCACATCATGCTATTAGTTTATATTATTATTGCTATTATTTGATATCATGCTATTTATCCAATATTGACAGTACTGACGACCGAAAGACAGAATCAGCTGATCATGACATTTCATTGCTAACTCCTCGCTTCATTATTTCCAATATTATTAGTATCTTTAATTGAGACGATCATTATCATTTTTTTCATTTCACATCATGCTATTATTTTATATTATTATTGCTATTATTTGATATCATGCTATTTATCCAATATTGACAGTACTGATGAAAGAAAATCGAGCTAAACATGTTTGATAATTATCAGCGCTCTTGCAATTTGCGTATATTTTTGAGTCGAGAAAGAGACCGAAAGACAGAATCAGCTGATCATGACAGTTCATTGCTAACTCCTCGCTTCATTATTTCCAATATTATTAGTATCTCTAATCGAGATAATCATTATCATTTTTTTCATTTCACATCATGCTATTATTTTATATTATTATTGCTATTATTTGATATCATGCTATTTATCCAATATTGACAGTACTGATGAAAGAAGATTCGAGCTAAACATGTTTGATAATTATCAGCGCTCTTGCAATTTGCGTATATTTTTGAGTCCACGCACGAGATGCGAGTTCTTATCAAGGACGGAGAGAAGGGTATTACGTATTAAATTATGATATCAGCCGGAGGCGTCCCGGCGATATCCCGATACAACGAACGCGAAGGGAGGATGGGACGAGATACGGGACGACTCCGTCGCGAAATTAACCCTGGAGATCACCGGGCGCTTCCGGAGGGATAATTTCATTTGGCAGCGAGATTCTGACCCGCCGCGCCGGCTGTGTCTGGCCGCCATTTTCTCTCTCGCACACCGAGAGCTTTTTCCCTTTTCCAGCATCCGAAAAGAGAGCTGATGAAACGAAATGCAAATTTCGATGCAATTTGTCGGGCAGTTGTTCGATTTCTGAGGGAAGATTTCGGGATTCCTCTCTACGCGGACAGGGAGTCGAACTTTTCCCGGAAGAGCTTACGAGCGAGCTTTCACGATCGTGATAAACTCCAAAAGACCGGACGGTGTGTTACGGGTCAAGTCGAGGGACGACTTGAGGGTGTAGGGAAAAAAATAAGGTCTCTCGCGAGGAGAACGACGTGAAAACGTCTCCATTTGCGGGACGAGCTCGATTTTTTCCAAGTCCATCTTTCGAGCTTTATCCTCCAGGGTTATTCACCCTCGGATATATCTCACCCTCGTCCGACTTTCGCACGGGAAAACTTCCGACTACTCTGATTGTCGAATAGGCAGAAAGCTTGTCAATCGATTTTGCGGAAAAAAATTGCGAGTGTCACGAATTTTCTTCAGATTTTTAACACCCTTGTTTCGTGATTCTATTAAATAAATAAATAATAATGAAATATAAATTTTTGCACGGGAAAACTTCCAACTACTCTGATTGAATAGGCCGAAAGCTTCACTTGTCAATCGATTTTAGAGAAAAAATTGCGAGGAAGCCAGTAATTTTCTTTAGATTTTTAACACCTCTGTTTCGTGATTCTAATAAATAAATAATAATAAAATAAAAATAAAATATAACTTTCGCACGAGAAAACTTCAAACTACTCTGATTATCGAAAGCTGCTTGTCAATCAATTTTGAAAAAAAATTGCGAAGTCACGAATTTTTTTCAGATTTTTAACACCCTTGTTTCGTGATTCTAATTAAATAAATAAATAAAAATGAAATATAAATTTTCGCACGAGAAAACTTCAACTACTCTGATTATCGAAAGCTTCACTTGTCAATCGATTTTGAGGGAAAAAATTGCGAGGGAGTCACGAATTTTTTTAGATTTTTAACACTCTTGTTTCGTGATTCTAATAAATAAATAATAATAAAATAAAAATAAAATATAAATTTTCGCACGAGAAAACTTCAAACTACTCTGATTATCGAAAGCTTATTTGCTTGTCAATCAATTTTGAGGGAAAAAATTGCGAGGGAGTCACGAATTTTTTTCAGATTTTTAACACTCTTGTTTCATGATTCTAATAAATAAATAAATAAATAAATAATAAAATATAAATTTTACAAAAGATTGATTCGAGAGATGTTCCTTTGGACCAGGATTTCTTTAATTAATGTATATCCAACACGACGCATCGGAAGCCGGAAAATTTCATTTCATTTTATCGTCATATTTTGCGTCATCGTTATATATAAAATGAGACATAAATAAAATGAAATAAATTATAACGATGAATGTTGTGTAATGTTATAATGGAACGAAATCTTGGCACACATCTCTCTTTTTTTCCCTCTCTCTCTCTTGCGAGCGTGCAATAACGATCCCTTTCCCGGGGGTAGCTACCCTCTCTCGTATACCTGTAACATCAATTAAAATTCTCGTGGTCGATGCGCCGCTGTTTCGCGCGATCGTCCGACGTTTTTAATTGGATTAGAGCGAGACGGCTAGAGCGGCTAGTGGGGAAGGTGCGGAGGCTCGTCGTTTCGAGGGTGCGAGATTGCGAGGAAGGGGTCGACGGGATATTTTCAGAGAGTGGGGCGAGTGGTGGGTTTCGCGCGGCGGATAACTCAGGTAAAATGACAGAGATGAGCGACTCCGGGTTGGTTTCCCTTTTCCAGCCGATTCCACCGAATTCGCCGGCAGAGAGAGAAAGAGAGAAAAGCATCCCCGGGAAAATGAGGGAATCAACTTTTCCATTGCGGCTTAATTTGTTTCCATTGAAAATTTCACGTCAAAGCCTCCCTTTCTTGCGGCCTCGTTCGCGAATAATAGCATTGTTTTGGGAAATTAAAAGGGTTTTCGGAAAACAAATGATGAATTATTCGGTAAGATAAAGGACGATCATTGTTGATTCTCTGTGTTCTAACTTCGGATTCGAGGAGATCTCGTGAAGATCGCGATAAACGAGCGATCCGCTCCGTGCGCGCTCGCATCTGCATTCGCAACACGCCGCATTAATTATGTATTCAATAAATTTTAAACGCATTGAAATGAATTCAAATTGCAGATTAATATTAAACGGCGTGCGCTAATTGGCCGGCCAATTATGCGGCGTTAATTAAACATTAGATGCGGCGGCCGCTAATTCGAGCGCCGGTGCAGACTCGCGCAATCTGCAGATTCTCCCTTCGACTTTAGAGAGGAAATTTACATCAAAGCGGTGTCATCTGTCGAGGATGCAGCTACATTTCTTGTGGTACCATCGGCCGAGCTTCTCTCCGAATATCGACCGTATGAATTCGTACGAACACAAGGTATAACTTTGCAATAAGAAATTTCCCGTTCACAAAATTTTGTTCACTTGACTAAACCTTTCAATTAAATGTCATTTTGTTAATTGAACATATATAAAAATATTTAAATTAAATCTAACAAATAAATGTTCAATCAAAATAGTGATTTAGTTGAAAGGTTTAATCGAGTTAATCAATTTTTTTTTTACAGTGTCGAATCGATAATTTATTTTTGAAAAAAATGTAATATTTCTATTCTGATATATAAAATAATATTCGTCAAGTTTATACTAATAATAATTACTGCGAAGCGTTGAATTTTATATATTTCCTTGATCTTGCAGCGAAATATTAACCTAATGATGAATGGGAAAAGAGAAGGAGAATATTGTTTTATTTTATAGAAAAGGAATATTTTATTACACTCAACTACGATCGTTACAATATATTTATGCATGTATTTATGCGGGCGCACATAAAACATCTTTTATCTGTCGAGTTATCGTCTTACATGTATATAAAGAAGAAACGCAACGATCGAATTGAAAATTCGAGACCTTTCAGCAAACAGCTTTAATAACGAAACCAACATATTTATCTCTGATATGTCCTCGATTGGTGATACAATTGTAAAAGGCGCTTAGAAATCGCCGAAGGAAATCAGGGAAAAATCTTTAATTGAAATCTACTCGATTTCGCATTTACCAATTATACATCTCTTTTTGTTATATTATTATTTTTAAAAAAAGAGGAAAAAGTACCGAGTATTCGCCCAAGTATCTCTCTCTCTCTCTCTCTCTCTCGTGAGTATCTTGATTATATCGACCACCAAATGTATTATAACGTATTGACTATGTTAATATTCCACTCTCTTAAAGAATCAGTGAAAATGGCACTGATTAAAACAGTGACGATATTTTACGAAGATCAGCGAGTATTTCATTGATTTTTAGTGCAAACACTCAGACTCTGCTCTTTTTTTTTATGTTTCATTGATGGCAGTGAGATTTTTCGTTATGGCTAGTATTTAAATTTAGAATTATTTTATGCATTGCACTTCTTTAATCTTAAGATGTAATAAAATCCATCAAAAAATGAAAAAGACTTCAAGTCAAACTCAAATATTTTTTTTTTTTTTATAAAATACATCGAAATTTATCTCATATTATAATATTGTAAGAGGCATTTTATAAAATATCACTGATTGAACCCCAACTACTCACTAACTGATACTTTCAGTGACAGATTTCATCGTTTGCAATGCTATTCTTATAACTAAAACCATATACTATTTATTTATCATTGATAATACACTGATTCCATTTAAGAGAGCACCTTACACAGCTTTGTTTGATTGGTTATGCAGCTGAGACGCGATTACTTGTCGAGTTAAAGTTAAATCTTAACAACGAGTGTGACAGAGACATTATTTTACTCCTTCAATATGTAAAATGATAAGAGCAATTTCGATCTCGTTTACCTTTACTTCTCTCATTCGACTCGCATGATGTGTGTGTATATGTAAGTGTGTGTTTTGGCCACGACATTATTGGCGTAAAGTTACGTTTGAATCTCCACGCGAATTACATTCAAGAATTTTCTGCCCTTAATTGCATCTCGAGAGACAAACGCTTTAATCGTAGTTGAACTCCCTTTCAAATCCACCGCAGGAACCTGCAAACAAGAACTCATTTTCTTTGTTTCGCACACGTTGTCGCAAGCGTACAATTATCTAGTACAGGTTCCGTTGGTAGAAAATCTCTCCTCTTCAGTTTCCTCGCAATCCGCATCCTCCAACCCAATCTGGATCAGTAGTCTCACCTAGTTTGGGGCTACAGTGGGGTCTCCTCTTCTGGGAGTTATTTTGGGGTCGGAGGTGGAGGTGGTGGTCATACAGCACTTCCGGTGTAAAAGCTCGCCTTGCCGGTCAGGCCGGACGCCCGCTTCTTCCTCTCACATTCCATCGTGCTGAAGGTGTTTTGGGCGATCTGCGACTTGCGCTTCGGGTTCTGGAGTGTCATGCTGCGCTGGCTGGAATTGGAGCTGGAGCTGGTGCCGGGTTCCGAAACCTTCAGGATGCCCGAGTGTATCGTCCCGAAGTTTTGATATATGTACTGCGACTGGATGGCCGACACGGACGTGTTTTGATTCTTCAGGGTGATCGGCACGGTCTGGCCAGCCAGACTGTTGAATCTGGTGTCGTAGCCGAATGGGGTGTCCAGCAAGGACTCGTTCTTGTCGACGTAGCCGCTGAGTCTGGAATCGAGGAGACCCTCTTTGTCGGCGAAGCCGCTCAGTCTCGAGTCCACGATGTCCTGGGTCTCGGCGCTCCTCGTCGCGGCAAAGTCAGCGGCGTACCGTTGCTCCTGGCCCGCGTCCTTGTTGGTATCCGTGAACGCGATCATGTTCTGCCTGGAGTCGGACAGGATCCGGGTGTCGATAAAGCCCTCCTTGTCGGTGAAGCCGCTCAGTCGGGAATCCACTACGTTGCCCTCGGTCTTGTCGAAGTTGTACCGCGGATCGATGCCCTTGTTATCCGGATAGGCCGGCAAGACGTGGGACAGGTCTGCCTTATCGACGTAACTGATGGCCTGGGGATTCGAGCCTGCGCAGATATCGGGCGCCGACTTGCAGAGCAACGACGTTCCCTCTTCGGCTATTTTTTGAGGCGCTACGGCATACAAGCGCGAAATTACCTTTGCTCCAGATATATATGATTCGCGAAAGAGTAGCGCGTTATTTTTTTATTATACAGGGTATCCCGGAGAATATCTTAAACAACATGTTTTTTTCCTTTCATCAGGACATTCCGGTTGGATCTCAAGATCATGCTTGGATCGCGAGCTTTTACGTAAACGTTAAGGAGATGCTAACCATGAAGCCTGATCTACAATGTGCTCTTTGCATCCCTCTTGTTTTCTTGCTTCTTTGTGCTCTATTTTATCGACAAAGTAGAGTTCGTCCACTTTTATCTCAGCAACAAAAAGAGAAGAAACATCGTCGTGCAGAGGACAAAGAACACGAAATACAACGCAAAGAGCACATTGTAGATCAGGCTTGACTGTTTTACCAACTTTGAGTTCAAAGGCTTTCCTTTTTATTAGCTATACAGATTGAAAAATCCTTCTTCACAATTAAAGCACTGATAATAATGAACGGGGAGCGCTGTAATTTTGTATAAAACATAATAAAAGTTAAAAAATTTAGCTTTTTATCGGCCTCTTGCGTCACCTTATAACAATACTCATTTAATACAAAAGTTCTCCAGTTTATTTGTGCACAAAATACGGCGTTTCCAATAGAGATGACATGAAAGAACTCATTTATTATTATCAGTACTTTTATTGTAAAGTACTGATTTTTCAATCTGTATATTCAATAAAAAGTGAATCTAACCTAACTTAAAGTCGGTAAAACAGAACAACGACAGCATCCCTTTAAGTGTCGTCGCACGTGGGATACCCTTTTAATTGAATAAATTCACCCACTTTTGGTTGGCTGACCGAAGGGTCGTGTCTGCGGCGGTCCTGGTGATTTCTGATGCGCCCTCACGAGATATTCCGAGCTGAGACCTCTCTGCTCCCTCAGTTTCCTCTCCGCTCCCGGCACCATGACTCTCACCTAAAAGAGAAACGAAAAAAAGAAGACCAAAGGCATGATTATATCCTCGAGCGCGATAGAGCTGGGAATCCTTTTGCTCAATCGTTCCAAGTGGATTCGTAGCTGAAATCGCGCGACTCCAGGAAATTTAATCGACAACTTTACCATCTCCTCAACCGTGGAGAAGCGCGCCATGTAGCCGGACATGGTTAAAACGGCCGCCACTTCCGCGAGCATCAGCGCTAATCCCGAGAGCTGAAGGCACCAGCCGTAGTGGTACTGAGGTAGACCGTTATCGTCCATTTGCATGCCGGACGTAGACGGCAGGCTGTACTTTCCCGGCAGCTCCAATGACGCATCCGATAAGGCTGATGCCAGAACTATCAATCCGCCGCCCAAAGAAAGTCCTGAAACACACGATTACACATCCATTAAGAGTTTCGTCTTTACGAATGGTTTCATCTTTTTCTTTCGTTAAAACGTTTTTAGGAAAATTCATCGATCTAATCTCATTTTAATTAAGTAATTTAATTTTTGCATTTTTAAAATTCAAACAGTTTGTACAGTGAAAAAAATTTGTTGACTTGACTAAACTTTTCAACTAAATATTATTTTGTTAATTGAATATATAAATATTTTAATTAAAAATATTTAAATGAAATATAACATATTAAATCTAACAAAACGTATATTTGACTTGAATACTGAATAATATATGTTCAATTAACAAAATAGTAATTTAGTTGAAAGGTTTAGTCAAGTTAACCAATTTTTTTGGTACAAATTTCATCAGTGTACAAATTTTGTGAACCTTTGGACTTAAAAAACGCAAAAATTAAATTAATTAAAATGAGATCAGATTGATGAATTTTCCTAAAAAAAAAAAAATTTGTTTAACGAAAGGAAAAAATTAAACCGTTTAGTCAAGATAACAAATTTTTTCAGTGTACATTATTGAATGGAACGAGTTTTCTAGTAGAATTGTTCCAACTATATGCTATTTGTTTGACCACAGATGGAGTAAAAAGAAGGATAAACACCCGGACATAACAATAAGTTACGTTTAGAGAAGATGGCTATTTTTATCTCAGTTACAATATTATTGAAGCTATAGTCGAGTAAACCGATAAATAAGAGCGCAACTGCAGGAGAACATATTCGACAATTCGAAGTTGCATCACGATAATAGCCTGTATCGCGCATCTCGGAATGTCCACAGTTAAGAATGCAATAACACAGCAGTTTATCCTCGTCATAAGGAAGTATCATCCGACTCGGAATTGAATCAGCCATATACGAGTCCCTCCGTTTTACAAGCGTACGAAAACTTTTTTTTTAAATTAAGCGCAAAATCAAATGGAAGTCTAATAATGAGTCGAGTACATATTCTATATTCATTCGCAGAAATCAGTTATACAAATCAATATAAATTATATTTATTTGTATAAATTTAAATTTATATTGATATATATTATGACCATATTAGTTATATTAATTATTGATTATATTGACTATGGTATTTATATCGAAATATAAATAAATATGAAAATAAATATACACCCATATTTATGTACATTTCAATACAATAAATAAATAAATGCACACGTATTTATTAATTTTTATATAGAAATATTTGGAATCGCGAGAAAGATCGGCTGCCGATTACAGAGATAACTCTTCTTTCGGAACGCGCGGAACAACCGGATATCGCTTCCGGTTCGATAAGCTATAAAGATTTCATTCCGGTCGCCGTCGTCATGGGAATCTCCCGCATTTGTCGAGAGAGAAACGACGTCGCTCATATTGCGAAGCGCGGTTTACGGAAGATACGGACGATCGAGTTATAATAAAAACGGGATTGGCAGACGCGGGAGACAGCTTATGAGAGGGAATTGCAATTGTTCCCTCCTCTTTCGATCTCCGTTTCTTGCCGCGATGCGACGTCGCGCCCCCGTGGATACTAAATCCGTCTCTCTCTCTTCCGGACAGAACAATTGTTCGATGACAAAATAATAATCTCGCGCTTCGGGGACCTCGAAAGACGTCTCACCGAGCGATTCCAGGGAAAGTTCGATCGGAAAACTTTTCCAGTGTACTCGCAGAGCAAATGAGCGCCCTCATTACCAGCGATTTATAATAATTTTGAGTGGAGAGACTTTGCAGAGATTATGTATAGATTTATTTTCAAGAGAGAGTGAGAGAGAAAAAGTATCTTATTTTTATATTTCTTGCATCCCTTCTCTCGCTGCAAAGAGAAATTACTTGAATATGATGTAATGCAGATTATATATGCATAAATAAAAATTGGTTCGGTTAATGAGAGGCATGCGAATATAAAGGATTAATTTTGTTATAGCACAGTTGCTAATTCCCCCGGTGTATATGAATGTGTGTACCCCTCTGGGTGTATATATGCTTCTGCACTCGAATAATATCTGACTACGCGAGCGAATGCTATAACACATATATATGTATATATATATATATATATAGAATACACCGGCGGGTAACTTCCACCAGTTTCTGTCCCTGTTTCCACGTTCGTCGACTAAATTGCAATTACTGTTAATTAATTGAGCAAAGGTTTGCATAGCTGTCGGCGGACAAAGCAAGGCGTGACTTGCACCAGTGAAGAAATTCTAGACCACGTCGATTATAATCCCGCGAAACTGCATAAATAAAACGAGGAGGTCTCTGAACAAATCCGAAGAGCAAAGAGAGAGGCAACCATGTATTATTTCATAAAATTAATTCGAATTACAGTCTCAGTCACTTTATCATTTTCCTTTAATTTTCAATTTTCTTTACACTGACAAAGTTATTTAATTAATAAATATTTATTTCAATCATTTATTTGGAACAATTTGAAAACCAATTGAAAAAATTTGAAACAATTTTCATTTATTTGAAACAAATAAATATTTTCACATTAAATCAATATTATTAGTTTCAAATAAATATTTATTCAAATTCCATAAATGTTTTCCCAGCGTACTTCTTAGAAAAGTGCAGTGAAAAAAATGTATTAACTTGTGTGACTAAATCTCTCAACTAAATTACTATTTTGTTAATTGAACATTAATATTTAAGTCAAGTTATATTTTACATGTTATATTTAAATATTTTTGTATTACACGTGCAGGCAAAGTGGCACTTTGTGTGCGTGTTTTTTGTGCGGAAAGCGGCCGATTTCACACGCCGCCATCTAGTGGCGACGCGGTGAGTGAATAAGCCGCGTTCAAAGCCATTGCCTACGGCTGAGCTGCGTTCAAAGTCATTGCCCACGGCTGAAGTCGTGGGCATGCTTTGCCCACGGTTGCCGCCGCAAAATGGCGGCGTGCGATCGGCCACCTCGCACACAGAAAACGCGCACAAAGCCACTTTGCCTGCACTTGTAATAGTATGTGTATCACGTGCGAATTGACAATTGATACACAATATACTATTATATGTTGAATCAACAAAATAATATTTCGTTGAAAGGTTTAGTCAAGTGAACAAATTTATTTTCCGTGCGTATAAACTTTCCTTAAAAAATCCAATTTAGGTTTCTCACTCGCGTAAAACAGATCATTCCCATATAATTTCAGTTTCCTATACGTCAACAAGATTAATATAAAAAGAAACTACGGCGACACCTCGACAGACATTTATTGAGATAGATTATAAACAGAGAGAGAGAGAGAGAGAGAGCGAGCGAGGCCGATATACAATATAATTCACGTATATTATTATATCACCACATATGCGTCTCCTCACGTGTCTGACAACTCGGTTGATATCCTATTCAGGTCACATTTCCTCCGCGATCCCTTGGCTGATTCGCTCGTCCTTCGCCGAGCATCGAGAAAGCCGGTTCATCAGCGGTAATTACAATCCTCTCTCGTCAAAGTGCGGGAGAGGGCCGAAAGTTGCCGGGTCATTGCATTCTCTTTCATCCTCCCGGAAGGTGACGCACGTGCAATCGGTCCTTTGAAAGTGCCTCGGATCAGAGTTGACAAACTTCATTCGTCTCCTGGCTTTCACGTATAAGGGATAGTTCGATGGAGGATATAGTTCACCGTTCGCAGCACGCGATCTCGCCTAATCAAACTACAATTCGGTTGTTACAGGGAGAAGGAGGAGGCCGGACATTCCGCCGGAAGTGGCCGGGGGACTTTCCCCGACCTCGTTTCTTGTCGGCAAGTCTGACGGCTGCTGCCTCGAATGCATTCCGTGGATATATTGGCAGCCGGTTCGCGTTTTGTGCTTAAGAGGCATTTCACCGTCATTACTTCGACATCAGCCCCGAGGTATCGAGATAGCTTTTTCCATCGAAGCACAGTTGGAAAATTTCTGTTTTCACAGATATCACAGATGTCCCAAACGGTCCACACAAATGTTTGTGTTAATTTAACATAATGTGGATATGTTAAATGGAGACACAAATATTGTGTTAAGGGGATGCTGACCAAATATGTTTTAGCGATCGAAACAGCGAGGTTAAATTCGACTATAAATTTATTTATTGGCTATACGGATTGTTTATTCTTGAAATTATGATGCTTCTCTCCATTTGTTAATATTGAATACTTTAATTGTGCAAAAGGATTTATATTTATTAATATAAGCACTTGAACTCATAATTTTATGAGATTTTACAAGTTCAAGTGCCTATATTTTGATTGGTTATACAGATTAATAAATCCTTTTGCACAATTAAAGTATTAATATTAACAAATCATCATAATTTCAAGAATAAACAATCCCCTTAATATTTTAACACACAAATAAATGCAAACTTCAAATAATGTAAAATAAATTTTGTGTAAAAATTTTAGATTTTATCATCCCTACTTATATTATAAAATAGAAAATCACATTTTTTTTCTGTAAATTTTAACAGATAAATCTTGTCGCTAATAAAGCCGAATATATTTATTGCGTAAAAGTAAAAATAGATGCATATTGTGTTAATTTTACATGTTTTTCAATTGTTTTAATAATTTAACATTTAAGTTCAATTAACAGACCAATAATATGCTAAATATTCAACACAAAAATATTAACGGGGACCGTTTTTAATAAGAAAACTTTTCTACTGTAAGAATTTTTATGTAGAGAAAACGGCAAGTTTTCGCACTCAATAATCTATATTAACGAATCTCGAATTCCGCTAGTTTGATGTTCAATATCAATCGGCATTGTTATTAACTGTTAATAATTTCAGCGTTTTGCACAATAACGCTAATAATAACGGCGAAAAATCGCGATAACAATGACAATGGCGATAACGAAGCTACAAAAGTGCGCGTCGAGTACTGGACGAATAAAACAAAAAAAAAAAAAAAAAAATTCGCAAAAATTGACGCACGCGAGAGAGAGAGGCGCCGCGCGTATTTCGTCGGTTCCGGGCTGCACGTATGCA